GTGATATTTTTTTGGTGGCGAATTGGCCTATAGTATTGTATGTTGTGTTAGCGCAGTATTGATGTCGTTCAAAGAAACAGACTTTACAGCATTCCTTGATTCTAAAATAGGCTATTCTTTTGTGGATGTTTAGCCATTTCCTTCAGTTTTTGTATGTAACAAAAGTTTGAGTCCGATGGAAGAAACTGAAACTTCACTCTTAAACTCTCTCCCCCCTCTCCCCCCCCCCCCCCCCCCCAATATCTTTCATGCATAAACAGCTCTTTTTTTCTTTAAAAGAAATCTAGATCGTTGTTTATAGGGAACTTACAATATGCCATAATGAACATAGATCACCTCCCCAACCCGTCCCAGAAATATAGAGAGAGTCCTATTACCAATCACATCCATGTTGAACAGTTCCTGGCCCTATCTAGAAAATAACAGTTGAAGTCTGGTAGATCTATTTGATGAGATAATGTGATTACATGCACTGTGCACTATCATTTTCTGCCATTCCTTCTTAGCTAGTAAGTAGTTAGATGATTCGGTTGCCATTGTTCTTCCAGAATGCTGTCAAAAATTGCTCACTTCAGGCTGCTACCAACGAGCAAAGAAAGGCTGATGAAAAAGTATTGAAATTGGCTGAAGAACAGAAGGTATTTAATTGTTTTCATTTTCTTCAAGTAGAGCGGTTGTGTTTATTTCATTATGCTAAGTTCAAACATCATAAAGAGATTATATGGCGTACTTCATGATTTCAGAAACAAAAGGAGAACCTCCACAAGAAAATCATTCAACTGGAGAAACAACTGGATGCCAAACAAGCAGTAGAGCTTGAAATCGAGCAATTGAGAGGCAAATTGAATGTTATGAGGCACATGGAAGATGAAGATGAAGGTGATTTGGAAGTGCTGGAAAAAGTGGATTCCCTGCTCAAGTCACTGAGGGAAAAGGAAGGAGAACTTGAAGATGTGCTGGCATTAAATCAAACTCTGGTAGTGCAGGAGCGCAACAGCAATGATGAACTGCAGGATGCTCGTAAAGAATTGGTTAATGTAAGCTTTGTAATTCTTTTCCATTTTCAGTGGTTCAGAAATCCATGTCTAGACCTGTTCAATACGTATAATATGCTTCCATTCAGAGTTTGTACTTGTTGGTTGTCTTTCAGAATCTGACATGTTTATTTTATTTAAGTTGAGTACAGTTCATTGCCTGAGCTTTTGAATTTATTGTTGATGCTCTTGTTATGTCAATTCTTCTGTTACATGACTTAGTTGTAGTACCACTTTTTGGATCACTCAGAGTAAAAAGGGTAGAACTTGTGGAACATTTGGAATATCCATGTTGGATGAGAGATTTTATCTGGCCCTCCTAGCTGAGCTGAGGAATATTAGGTAGTACAAATGTTAAGTGAGAGAAGAATTATGTCATTGTAGCCGCATGTGCTAATTGCCATTTGCTAATAACATTTACAATGACTTGGATTCTTCATCACTTGTAATGATTTTCAATTTTTTCCACATTGCTAATGGTAAAGGTGATTTCAATCTTGATTGAGGTTTCTTCTCCCTTTTGCTTGATCTTAGGATCGAGATTTCAGTATATTTATGAGTATTTACAAAGCTGCATTCATGTAATAGACATTGGCTGGATCATTATATTTATCGTGGTAGTAGCATTCAACTCATGCAGTTGAGATTTCGTTATTCATTTTTCTACACATTTTTACAAGCTTTAGACAGTGTCTTATTTAAGTTGCTTTTTAGGGCTTGAAAGAATTATCAACAAATGGTCAAATTGGTGTGAAGAGAATGGGAGAACTCAACAGCAAACCATTTCAGGAAGCAATGAAAAGGAAGTATAATGAGGTCGAGGCAGATGAAAGGGCAACAGAATTGTGCTCCCTGTGGGAGGAATACCTTAGAGATCCTGAATGGCATCCTATAAAGGTGGTTGAGATTGATGGGAGACATCAGGTATGCAGTTAAGAGTGTACTTCTGTGTATCTTTTGTTGTAGCACAAGCTTATCTTTGAGGAAAATGAAATGCTTTAGGATGAAATCTGTGATTAATTGTGCACTCACGTTGTAAACATAAGCAGACCAAGCAAGTTATGCATTACTACACTCAACTTCTGGTAACTAAACCTTGGTATAAATAGTATTTTATAAGGGGTTAACTTAATTCTGCCCACATCTTTTGCCTGTCTTCTCTGTCCTGCCAAACGAACAAATAGAACAACAAAACTCTTAGACTACAAACAGAAAACCAGATATAAGTGGATAGCAATATAAAGTATAATCAAACAACTTTATTTTAATAAACTCGGGGTTCTCTATAGACACCGTTTTGTTTGGTTCGTGGATATCTTGGGGAAGATCATAATGCAAGCAAGTCTTTCGCATATTAATTTTGGCCTGCCTGAGGTCTAGTGAGATTACTTCATTTTGTGAAACAAGGTTTTGAGGTCTGTGCTAATAAGCTCCAACCACTTAGTCAGCCTTCTCTTAATTTATCCTCAATTGCTGCCATTCTATTCTTAGTTAACCATCAATATGATTGAAGAATTTTCCCTTGGTTCATGGATCGAAAATTCTCAGTGGTTTGGATATGTTTTACTAATAGATTTCTTGGAGCTGTTAAAATTTCTTTTGCCCTCTTTTTGTTCTTTTGGCTTATGGTTTACTTACAAACACTTATTCTGTTGGTTCAGGCAGTAATCGACCAAGAGGATGAGAAGTTGAAGGACCTGAAGAATAACTATGGCGATGAAGTGTATGATGCTGTGACCTCTGCTTTGACCGAGATAAATGAATATAACCCGAGTGGGAGGTATATCATTTCAGAGCTTTGGAACTATGCCGAAGGTAAGAAAGCTACTCTGCAGGAAGGAGTTGTTCATATGATGAATCTATGGAGAACTTACAAACGAAAGAGGGGAATGGATTGATCGTTGGATGCCCTTATCTGTGTTTTTCATGTGCCATTCTATAGGCACACCTTCATTTTAACTACCGGATAATGAATAATTGTATTAGGTTATGTATCGTTGTATCGGAGACGGAGATTTAACTATCGACTGTCATTTGTGCCTGTTGATCTCTTGGCTAATAGGTAATGCATTAAAACTTCTTATCTTCAACTTTATATTCAATTGAATATAATAAATAAAAAGGATTTTTGTTTTCAAATCAAATAAATCATTATTTATCTATAATTCGTTGGAACAAAAAAAGGGGCCCGGCTAGGTACTGACCAGGCCAGGCCATCAGAATAAGAAGGGCCTTTCGAACAAAATCAACACAAAGATGTCTTCTTTTTTTTTTTTTTTTTTTTTTTTTTTGGTTCTAAGAATTAACCAAGTACTATATTAATTTATATGGTTTTTAAACAAAGAATATTATAACACTTTTGTTGCCTAAACAGTAAACAGGAAGGAAAGTGTGTGCTTTGGCACGAACAATTCTTTTGAAGTGTGAAAGAAACTCAAACAAGTCGGTACTCGTCTATATTGGTTCTATCTTCCTATATGAAACTATCGGGTTCTTTTAATAAAATTCTCATTGGTACTCAACTTCAAAAGGGAGAAAAGTTAATGTAATGTCCATCAGTCATTATTACATGCCTAGCGTGTCATTTTGTCGTCTAAATGGATGGTTTCTATTGAGTTGGAATTTTCACGTGCACAATTTTAAAACATTGAGGACGTGAATGCGATAAACAGAATATTAGGGTATGAAGTAGGATAAATGGAAGGTTTGGGGACCCCTAGAGGAATTTTCCCCAGTTTTATGTTTAAGCCTTTTCTCTTCTTTAGCTCCGATCCACATATATATAGCTCACAAGAGTATTGCAATTCCTATTTCTACTGTAACCCTAAAAATTCTGCAGCCGAAGTCTGTAGTCTATTTTTCACATCTTTCTTTAATTACTTTTGATAAAAATATTGAGATAAATGGGGCTGTGATTACAAAGAGAGAGGATTGAGTGGGGTTTTCTCTTGTCGAAGTTTGGAGAGAAGATTGGAGATAGAGATGGATATATTAAGATTCGGGGACGAATCGAAACTTGCCGCCCCCTTGTTTGTTGCAAGGGCTGGCTTATGGCAGCTTGTGAATTTGCCCCAAATCAATTTCATCTCTTTTGTATTCTCTTTTCTTTCTTCGATCTGGATCTTTCCCACTATGACTACCTTTTTAAATTTACACTTGATATGAGCTCCCCTCGTGTTTACAAAGCACATTCGTATGAATCTGTATATTTAGGAGTTTGGAGTTAGTTTTGCATTTGTTGGTATATTATGGGTGAGACGATTTTGGGTGCTCACTATATCGCATCAGTGCATAAAGAAAAAGCTTTATTTTTCTTGGATTTTCACTGTAATCAGAGAAACTCCAGGGAAAATTAAGCAGCGGCCAGACAACCGTAGAGATGGGTTTTCCACAGATGAAATGAAATGTTCATTCAATTTGTCTACTTATTCCATCTCATATTTTTCTTTTCCTAAATTTGATTTTTTCGAAAATGCTTTTAAAAATTGTTCATTATTAATTAATCGTTGGTAGGGATTATTCTTCTGTTTATGCAGTGGTTTTTGTTATTGATCTTGGTTTTGCAATTTCAAATCACAAGGGATATTGTTTTTGAAATAAAGTTTGCATTGAATCGGAATTTGTTGCTTTAATTTTCTCAATATTACGAACCTAAGAAATGAAAATGGAGTCGCAGATGTTCTTCTTTGGCTTCTGTTATACAATTCAATTATCAATACCAGTCTCTGTTTCAGTATTTCAAGAAGCATTTGCATACATTACCAGTTAAACCTAAAATTAAAGAGAATATATATATATATATATAATTTTTTTTTTTATTTATTAATTTTTTTTATTTTTTATTTTTTTTAAAATTCTCAAGAAATTGCATTGTCCATTCATGAAAGGGCAAATTATATTTTTTGACAGAAGTGAGATAAATTGAGACATATTAAGAGGGTGTTTGGTAGGAATTTTGAGAATTGATTTTTTGTCAACTAAATGTAAAAATGGGTTCAATTTGTGTGAGAAGAATTCAAAAATGATGGCTAGAATAGTAAAATAACGATCAAAAAATTATTTTTAATTGACTTAAAAGCCTTACCAAACACCCCCTAAGCCTTTAAAACTATTTTAATAGAGGATGTTACAACAAAAAAAAAGAGTTAAGTGGCCCAACCCAATCGTAAAGTTCAACCCAGGCCCAATCTTGTAAATAGTATATTGTGGCCAGGTACCTGGGAGAATACGGACAAGGCCCAAAGTCTGTAGCCTGGCCCGAGGGATACAAATTGGCCCATTACTTGAACCCATAGCTTGACTCTTGAGTTGTGCTTTAACAGAATGGACCACCCATAGTTGAGAAACCTATTAAAAGGCCCTCAGAAGTATTTATTTATTTATTTTATTTTTTCTGATATTCAGATATTCACTTTACGGTGATTAAATCTTGGAGTTTACATCTTGGTCTTTCAAGCTGTAGACAGGTTAAACCGCAGGTTGTGCCCCAAACTGATCTGTCAAAGTGCCAAACAAGTCGTTTTCCATCTTTGCACCTTACCTTCTAGTAGAACTGCTGCCTTCTTGGATAAATCCTGCTTTCCAGAAGAATATCTGCCTTCCAAGAGCTTTTCAGGAATCACACTCACGACCTCTGATCTGTCAATCTTGAAGTGCCCTCATCTTTGCCAGTTGGAATGTGCCCTGGGGGGCGACCTTCAGAAGTCTTAACACTACAAAGAGGAGAGCTCTTTGTACCAGTGATAAGTGTATTTTGTACTTTCATCCAAGCTAGTAAATTGAAGTATTTGTTAGTGATTTAAATGAGTTATAGTTTAATCATGTGTTAATTATACTTGTTAGGTTGTATTTAATGCAAAATGGTGAAATTGAAAGATATGAATGAAAAACGAGAGCTACATGGCAAAAAACCTTCCCTTGTTTTTTCATACACAATAATTTTATCAAATTTATCGAGAACAAAAGGTTACTTCATCATTTTTGGAAGAGGAGATCAAGTCATAGTAAGAAATTGAAGATTTTGAAAAATTCAACATTGGACTTGAAAATTAATATCTTTTGAAGTAATTTATAATTTGAGTGATATTTTTCTATTATTCTTTTTGTAATTTATATATTAATATAATATGTTAGATCTGCTTTTGTATTGAATGAATCTATTTGTTATTTATTTATAATTCAAGACTAGTAATTTAGTATTTCTTGCATTTCTTAATTAATTTTACATACTCATTGTATTATTTAATTGATTGACCACCAATAATCAATTGCTTGATGTAGGGTTGTGATTTACAATAAGTTTAGAACGTGACAAAATTAACATATGTGCAATACATGTTAAGAATAACATTTATCACGTGTTCAATCGTATAGATAATTTAAACTTTAATGGGTTTTAATCATTCGAATTCAGGTTGAGAATAGATTCAGGTCTTGGTTAGGATATATTTAATTTGTCTTGAAATTCAAAATTATATATCATAGCTTTATCGATTTGTCAAAAATGCATTATCGGAAATAGATTATAAATCAATAATTGAAATAGATAACAATAGGCGAATTCGAAATTCAATACAATTATCCATAATTTGTCAAAAATCAAACTTTTATTTTTTTTTATATTAATTTAGAATAATCACAAAATCAAATTATCTTTTGTTTACATAATTCGAATTTTATACATAATTAATAAACTTGAATTGATATTTATTTCACGTGGGATGATAACTTTAAACTCACTAAATTTATTATTTATCAACGATCCCGTAAGCTTGCAAGCTTCGCACGAACAACCTGCTGGTCTTTACATTGACGAGAATAAGGGATAATTACAGTTGCGGTCTTAAATTTTTTAAATTGTTGTAGCTTTTATCTAACTTTTTATATGAAGCAGCATTGTTGGTCCTTTTATCTAACTTTTTATATGTAGCAGCATTGTTGGTCCTAACCCGTTAAATCCTTTGTGACGGAAGGACCTCTAAATGTATGTCTAGGAGATTATGACTTATCAATGGTCAAGGGTTTGATCATATTTTGATCAATTTTAAAAGAGCAATATGATAAAAAAATTTATTATTTTTTATATAAAATAATTGTATTAAAAAAATCATCTTCTCCCCTACCCTACCACAACCAAACCAAATCTCCTCACACGTTGCCACCAGCCACCTTCCCCCGACGGCCTGACCACATTTTGAATTTTTTGAAATTTTACATCTTTCTATTATATATAAGGTTTTGGATTAGAGAACAAAGTTATTGTTCATCTTCTTCCCACATAATCTGTTGACCCCAAAAAAATGAGACAACAGATGTTGGGACTCGCTCGCGTCCATGTGGCCTGTCGAGCAGCTTTGGACTAGAGGCTTTATCGAAAGAGTAAAAACGTAGGTAACACTTCGAATGTGGGTTGCGGTAGTTTGGGCACCGACGATATTATCGAAAATGAAAACACTGCGTGCACAATTCCTCCCTCACTTTGGTAAAAATTACTTTGTATTTCTATTTTTCCATCTCTTACGATGTTACAAGAGTTGCTATTTATAGTATTCAGACCAACGTGGTCACCATTGGATCAGATCTATGTAGCTCTATATGTTTGATCGAAGTGTCACATCACCCTGTCTCACATTAATCACATTGACAAATACATTTGATAATGGGTCAGGCGCCCTACATTCCTTGGGTAACATATCTGGCATTTGTTAATGGAAACGTCACTCATCAGACCTACTCTAAAGAATGAAATCACTTCGGTCGTAGAGGACAGGAGGGAACCTCTAACATGAAGGAGTTCGGCTTAAGGGGTGGAAGGGTTTTGGTAGCAACGCTTTGATGGAAATTGTGCCTCGGCCAGGAAGACAGTCCTTTCATTCTTCTTTATTATTAGACTGACTGCCACGTGTGTGTGCGTGTGGTACCTCCACGTGGCCTCCACTGGAAGCTTCACATACGATCAATAACATCATCTACCCTACCCATTGTCACCATCTTTTCCCATTTGTTACAATATTTAGGTTGAGAGGCAAATTTATGCGTATATGTATACAAACAAAACAAACGGATTTATGCATATGGTGGGAGGCAGATT